CGCCTTTCCTGGAGCTCACTTGGTAGCCCAGGCTGGCCTCGAACTCACAGAGATCCGCCTGGCTCTGCCTCCCGAGTGCTGGGATTAAAAGCATGCGCCACCAACGCCCGGCTCACATCTATGTTTTCTATTTCTCCAAATTGTCCATTATGGAGTGGGGCTGGAGGGGGTGGGCACTACTCTTCCCTTTACTTTTATGATATTTCAAGATGGTTTAAAACACTTTTCATCTTTTGAAGTTACATTGACTTGTTGTATGTGTGCATGCATACACGTGCACATATGCCACAGGTGGGTGTGGAGGTCAGGGGACAACTTTGGGGAGTCAGCTCTTTCCTTACACCATGTAGGTCTTGGGGACCCAGTTCAGATCACCAGACTTGGAGTCAAGCACCTTAACTCCTGAGCTCTCTTACCAGCCTGTAAGAGGGAATTTCACTTGTTTGTTGTTTGTCTGTCTGTTTTCAGGACAGGGTCTCACTATGTAGCCCTGGATGGCTGTCCTGGAACTCACTCAGGAGACCAGGCTGGCCTTGAACTCATAGAGACCCACCTGCTTCTGCTTTCTAAGCACTGAGACTAAAGACGTATGCCTCCATACCTGGCTTTAAAGGCACCCAGGGCCACAGAGTGATATAAAACAACATTACCCCCAAGAATCTCCTGAACATGCCCTAAAATACAGTGCATGCTGTTGAGTTTTACATCATAAAATGTCTCTCATAAATATTTGTCAGATACTCTGTTCCTTTTAAAAATTAATTAATTAGGGCCGGGCGGTGGTGGCCCATGCCTTTAATCCCAGCACTCGGGAGGCACAGGCAGGCAGATCGCTGTGAGTTCGAGGCCAGCCTGGTCTACAGAGTGAGTTCCAGGACAGGCACCAAAGCTACACAGAGAAACCCTGTCTCAAAAAAAAAATAATAATAATTAATTAATTTGTTGGATTTTTTTAAAGACAGGGTTCCTTTGTGTAACAGCTCTGGCTGTCCTGGAACTCGCTTATAGATCAGGCTGGCCTCGAACTCACAGAGATCCAACTGCCTCTGCCTCCCCAGTGCTGGGATTAAAGGCATTCACCATCACTGTCCAGCTGCTCCTTTTATTTTTAATTATCAACTCTTTTGCCGTGGAACCAAACTTAATCTCATCATTTTAAACTGGCTTTGCTTTTTTAAAGACAGGTCTCACATTAGCCTCGAACTCACTATATAGTGGAGTATGACCTGAAACTTCTGATCCTGCCTTCACCCCCTGATTTGGGATTATGGGTGTGTGCCCCTGTGCCTGGCCTACCTGTGCTAGCGATCAAATACGTAGCTTTAACTCTACCAACTGAGTTAAATTACCAGTCTGGTTTTACTGTTTTTTAATGCATGCATGCATGCAACTGATTACGCAAAATTTAAGTGCTCAAGCTGAGTGCCATTTACCAAGTGTGTATTATGCCTCAGGCTCTTTCCCATACCTTGGCCCCTGGGGACAGTGGGCTCTTGACTTCTGACTTCTGAGGCGAGCTGACTTTCTGGACTTTGGGGGACGCCAGCGGCACTGTGACTTGAGTGGCAGACATCGTGGTGTTTGTGGTTGTGGCTGTGGTGGCTCCCACTGCCTCAGCCAGGTCTGGAGGGAGGTCATCTTCATCACTGCGGTTACTAAAAGCACATGAAGCTCTGCTCATTACAATAATACACAGCCCGTGAGGGGTTCTGGGAGGGGAGAAGAGGCCAAAATGGGAGGACACGGCTCTCCAAATCGATGCCCACTCAACGTCAAGTTTACAAGATCCAAGACCAAAAGCCAGTGTGTGTGTGTGTGTGTGTGTGTGTGTGTGTGTGTGTGTGTGTGTGCGCGTGTGCGTGTGTGATTGCGGCAAACCACACATAACATGATATTTATCATTTTAACCACTTATATACAAACCCTTCTGTGGCGTGACCTACATTCACAGTTATGTAGCCACCCCACTATATACAGTCCCCAACCATGTCCCTCTGTCCATGAGCTTGCCTATTCCTGAGCCCTCACGGAAGCAAGTGATGCTTTCAAAATCCAACGACACTGTGGTGTATAACAAAATGCCTTTCCCTTTTATGTTGAGAAATGCTCCACTACATGGCCATATCCTATTTTCTTAGCTGTGTATTTGCTAGTAGACACTTGGCTGGACATTCATGTCACAGTAAGTCCAAATAGACACAGAGGCTGTGCACTATAGACTCCACTTCGGCGAGGCAGCAGGAATCAAGCTCATGAACCATCTCTCTAACCCTTTTCATTTGTAAGATTTATTTTAAATTTATGTGTATGCGCGTGGATGTGTGCACGTGCCTATGGAGGCCAGAAGTATCAGATGCCCCCTACAGCTGGAGCCACAGGCAGTGGTGACCTACATGATCTGGACACTGGTACTCAAGCCTCGGCAAGAACAGTTGTACTCTAAATCACTGAGCTGTCAGCCTAGACAGGTTTTTACCAATTTTTTTTTTAAAAAGTTAATCATACAGTGATACAGAAGAGTGGGGTGAATTTTTTTAACCTTATATAAAAGCACTTTAACCCTAAAAGCAGAATCACTATTTGTTTTTACATTTTAAAAAAAAAACAGCTCATTTCTTATAGTAGGAAGTCAACCCAGAGTGCCTAAAATAGGAAAAGCTCCAAATTCTTCTTTCTAAAAGAAGGTGTATTATTATTATTTTTTATTTCTCTCTGTGTATGTATGTACACCATGTATGTGCAGGTACCCTCAGTGTCCAGAAGAGGGCATCAGATCCCCCTAGAGCTGGAATGACAGGTAGGTGTGAGTCACCTGAAGAATGGGGGTCCTCTGAGAAAGCAGCAAGTGTTTTCAACCACTGACCTATCTCTCCAGCCCCCCCTTATATTTTAAAAAAAAAGTCTTTTGTCTTAGACCTTATACCAAAGAACCATATTTAAAATCCAGTAAGTCTCCAACTTCAGTTTCTGAGGTAATTCATGATAAATTCGTAAAATATTGTTGTTTTACCAATGCAGCCCAGGCTAGCTCAAACTCCTGACCCTCCCACTGCTGCCTCCCAAGCACGGAGGGTACAGTCATGTGCCACCACACCTGGCTTTCAAAACAGTTTAACAAGTTTTTGTGGGGAAGATTTTTGATTTTTGCCTTGAAACTCCTTCCCCCCGCCCCCGAAGTGCAGTAATGCAAAGATAAAAAGGTTTCTCCTTTTCTTTTTCTTTCTTTCTTTCTTTTTTTTAAACAACAGCCAATTTGGTGATTAAGTGAAATTTTCTTTCCTTCCAGGTTACCTATAGTTAGGCATTATTTAATGATTACCTATCCCAAATGGGTGGTAATGACATTTTGAATTCTGAAATGTGAAAGGGAAGGCAAGCCCTGCCAGCCTTGTCCTGGGGGAAGATTTTCATGGTTTAATTTGTTCCCCAGAGATCATTAGAGCTGTTAATTACCTGAGTTCTAGCCACTCAGGCTCTCCCAGAAACACTGCTGCTATATGCCCCTAAGTTCCCATCAGGGCTGGTGAGGTGGCACGTGGCTGCTCTTAAGACCCCCTGAGTGCACCCCTTTACCTTCCCACAAGGAGCTAATGGCACATCTCTGCTGGCTGTTTGGGGACTGTCTCTGGGACTGCACCCCAACTTCCCTTAGCATCCCGGATCCCTACAGTTTTTCTCAGAAGCACAGCCTTTGGCCAGACCCCTCACAAAATCCCTTAGAGATGGCTATTAGCTCACTTTACAGACAGATGAAGGAAAAACATTGGGAGCCGGCCTGGTGTCACAGACCTGTAATCCCAGCTACTCAGGAGGCTGAGGCAGGGAGGTCAGAAGTTCCAAGTCGGCCTGGGCAATGCAGGGAGACCTCTCTCAAAATAAAATGTGAAAAACCGACTAGAGATGTAGCTCAGTGGTAAGCACCTGCTTTGCATTGGCCGGGTCTCCAATACTGTGAAAGAAAGGAACTAAAGAATAGAGACGGACAGAAAGGGGGCCCAAAGAGACGCCTCAGTGTTAAAGCGTTTGCTGTCCAAGCCTGAGGACCACAGTTTGGATCCCTGAAAACCCACATAAATGTTTGGCGGGTCTGGTGGCCTGCCTGGAACTCCAGCCTCCAAAAGCAGAGCCAGGGGGCCCCAGAGCATGCTGGTTAGTGACGAACCATGTCAGTGAGCTTTGGGTTTGACTGAGAGACTCTGCCTCAGTGAATAAGGTAGATTCCGTATATCAACCTCTGTCCTTTAAATGCATGCACACACAGGTGCACACGTACACATGTGTGCCCATACACGTGCAAACATGCATGATAGGTAGTTTTGAATCCCTGGGAGTGGGTTTCTCAGCCAACACAAATAAGCCAGACCAAGCCAAATTAAAAGTCCAGGTTTAATGAGCCAAGCACTCTCGGGTGACTCTCAAGCCCCCCCCCCTCCAGAAGTGAGATGGGGGGGGGAGAAATCACGTGGCAGGTCTAGGGACCGGAGCTTAAATACCCTGTAGGTGAGGTCTTGAGCAGCTCCGGGGGAGGAGTGGCCACTTGGAGGGCTTTCTAAGAGGTGAACACACACACACACACACACACACACACACACACACACACACACACACACGAGAAAATGGAATCCTGGGATCATTTCTCAGGATCTCAGAGCTACAGACGGGTCTGAACATTATCTGAAATCTTTGGAGGCCGAGACTGCCCACATTTCCCACTGTGCCTGGAGATTCCTCTGCAGCTCTCTCACAAATGTCACACCCAGGGGTAGTGCCCGAGTCACAGTCGGGGCCAAAAATGAGGACGCCACTGCAGTTGGTTCTCCATTGAGCCCACCTGCCCTTTTTACGGCGCTCACCTGTCTTGTTTGGGCAGTTATTTACAAGTCTGTCTCTGCCTCCAGGACGCTATGAGACTACAAAGTGAGATGTCAGATAGGGATTGTCACCGCCGTTTTGCTAATACCTGACAATGCCTGGAACAGCAGCCAAGAGATTTTTGTTGGATTAAGTGGAAGAAAACTGGGTGGGTCCTGACATCTTAGGTAGCTCCATGCTTCTCTCTGCTGACTGATTATGCTAAGCACTTTACTATCAAGACATGGGGTGTGGAGGCAGCTTCTCCTGTGGCCTCTGGTGGTTCCTGTCTTAGTAATCATTCACCCATGTAATCCTCTTCTAGAGTGTGAGCTGGGCCTAGCAACATGTTTCCAATAAACAGAACATGTCGAAAACAATAGAAGGTCTTTTCTGTGATGAAGCTATACAAGACTAACCTTCATCTTGCTGGCCTTCTCCCTGCCTCCTCTCACATGCTCTCGGACAGAGAAACCTTACAAGACTGTAAGCTTAGGCTAACCTGGGTCCAACAGCCTCCCTGACCATGGATTCTGATAGCAACCACATAAAGGAGCCTTCAGAGGTGACCAAGGCCCTAGGGGCCAATTTGTAGCCTTGCAGGAGACCCCAACAGAGAAGCACAGAGAGGCTGTGCCAGACTCCCAGTCCCCTGTAAGGTGGTAAGCATGGAATGCTGGGAACAGTTTACTACACCACAGTCAGTGATGACAAGTGTGGCCTCTGTGTGACGTTTTCATGGAGAAAACTCTAGGGCCATTATGACCTGAATGCGAATTAGATGGAGTCCGGGGGATGGCCATCTGAGAAGGTGCCTGGGAAGGGCTATCACTAAATATTCATGCATAATTGGGGGGGTAGACAAGTGCAGAACTCACAAACTGTATTGTCTTGTTAACTTCCTCACTCGGGGAGGCTTGATTTCTGGCTTCTCCACAGCTGGCTGGGCTGCTTCCACGCGTATAGGAATGGGGCTTCTGGAGACACAGGAAAAGAAAAAAAAGGTTAGTGTTCTTGTATTATCCTTCTGGACTGATTCTCAGTTAATATACAGTTTACCGATTCTGACGGCCCAGATATCCAATTGCTCTTGACAATTAATAATTGATATGATATTACAAAACCAGAAAGGTTCCAGAATCACAAAAACAAGCAAAAATTATAGAGATGAGACTGTAGCAAGTGAGGAACTAAATACAACCAGGTGGGAGACCAGATAAAACTGCCTTGCTCAAAAGCTCCAACCCCAGTCTGAGGGTTTGGTTCACAGCCAGGTCTTGCTGTGAAACGAATGAAGAAAACCCCATGGCTAACCCAGGCTCAGCTCCCAATATCCGGTAGCCATGATACTTAGCCCAGTAGCCCACAAAGGCTATAACACTGTAGTCTATAATGAAGCTACAGTGAACAGTAAATACTGTGTCCACAGTCTAGTATTTTAACTGAAAAAGTATAATCAGAAGAACTTTAGGACTGTTTCCAAAATATTTTTAATACTATGTATTTGAGAAAATGTTTTCAAAAAGAGATGGCTCAGTGGTTAAGAATGCTTACTGCTCTTCCAAAGGACCTGAGTTCAATTTCCAGCACTCATGACTACCCATAATGCCTCCAGAAGATATGATGCTCTCTTCTAGCCTCTCAGGGCACCTATATACAGGTGTATACCCTCAAACACATAAATAAAAGTAAAAATATATCAAATTTCCCTGTTATTTTGCCTCAGTCATTTATGACAACCCAATGGATCTTTTTAAGACTGATCTTTATCAGATTTTATTGACTTATTCTCTGTGTATGTGCACGCCTGTGCACAGAGGTTGGAGAACAGACAGTACTTCTATCATGTGGGTCTGAGGATTAAACTGAGGTCGTAAAGCTCGACAGCAAGACCTTTCAGTCATTTAAGCCATCTCCCTGGCCCCAAAACAGTGATTTTAAGAAGCCTTTAATGCATTCTTACAGTCATAACTGATTTCATATTTTTTAAAAAACAGTAATTACCTCCTAACACTAAAGAGGCATGGAGACAAGCTGAGGCCCTGAGCAAGGGCCTCCTGACAAAGTAATGGGCACTTCCTCACTTCCATATTCTCTTCTATTCATGACCTGCTTACATGGGAAGTATGCAGCTAGTGCCTAGTAAACGCTTGCTGAAGAAACACAGGAAAGGATGAACAAGGAATCGAAGTCAATGTGCTGCATTCATGGTTCCCTAGGCAGGAACTGCAAGGTAGCTGCACATGGTCCCTGAAACGACCCTATCTCCTAGGGTTCTCAGCCTAATGCAGGGAAGACCATCAATGTAAGAGACCGAGTGGAGGCCTGGCTGAATGCAGGGTACCATCCTCACCACCCCGACATAGAAGAGGTCCCAGCAGCAGGGCAAGGGGAAGGGACCAGAAGGAAAACAGGGAGAGACCTGTCAGGAGGAACATCAGGCTGAGTTTACTCTGGAGGCAATGACAGTCACAAAAGGTTTTAGTCTGAGGAGTGGCATTATCAGGTTTGCATTGCAAAAGTGCCCTCAGAGCCAAGAGTGTACCGGTGGGAGAGCCAGGGTATTAATGATCTAGAATTAGAGACAATGAAGGGTAGGGAGGTGTTGTGGGATATTTGTACGCTGTGTGAGATGCGCTGCTATGACTGGTGTAATAAAAAGCCAAACAGCCAATAGCTAGGCAGGAGAGATAGGCGGGACTTCCTAGCAGAGAGAGGAAGAGGGGATACCATCAAGATGTGGAACAAGCTGGACACACAAATTGGGAGAGAGGTAAAAGCCATGTGGTACAATGTAGATTAATAAAAAAAAAATGGGTTAATTTCAGTTATAGGAGCTAGTGGGGAAAAGCCTAAGCTAAGGCCAAGCTTTCATAATTAATAATAAGTCTCTGAGTCATTATTTGGGGGCTAGTGATCCAAAGATAGTCCGATGAGAAAGCTTGCTATAGGGAAGGGCAGGGATTATGTTCCTGAACATATCTTTGGAGATAATACAAAAGTCAAATTGATGCATGGTGATGACCAATTAGACAAGGGGATGAGGTGGGTGGGTGGGGACAAGGACTCCTGAGTTTCAAGCTTGGGTAGGAAGTAGATAATAATGCTGTTCTCCAAGCCTGGAGACAGGTGAAGGAAGGATGGTGGACAGGGTGGGAAAAGGCTTTTGTTTGGTTGGTTTGCTTTTTCCAGTGCTGGGGATGGAACTCAGGCCCTTGCACGTGATAGAAAAGTACTCTCCAACTCAGCTGCCCACCCCACCCCCCACTCCCCACCCCCCAGCCTGAATTAAGTCCCTGAGAAGTCCAGGCAGGAATGTATCCCTGGAGGATGACAAACATGGACAAACTTGGACAAGAATACAGACTGGCAGTCATAAGACAACAGAGAGAAACTTTAGCTTTTGCTTTGAGCCTTGGGTGTAGCAATTCCACATGACACTCAGGTATTCACTAAAATGCCTTTTTGGGTCCTCACCACCTCTCCTACTCCCATCCACCAATACACAGGAGCTCAAGAACTGGGGTGGGACTCGGGAGTCTAGTGTTTGGTTTATTTATCTGTTTTGTGTTGTTGAGGATAGAAGCCAGGGCCTTAAGCATGCTAGGCATGCTCTCTACTACTTCGTTAACCTCCCCAGCCAGAACCTAGGCTTTTCAGTATGAGACTCTGTTGTACATTTGAGGGGTACCCAAGAATGCCCCGTGAGGAGCAGGTGATGAAAGACCACCAAGATGCCAAAAGGATTGCCATGATGACAGGATGTCAGTCACTTAGGGCTGAGAGAGGGATTTCCTCCAGGGTATGGGGTGGGGTGATAGTGGCTGAGAGCATCAGTGAACCCATGTGGTTCCAGTTCTGACAGAGCACAGAAATGACAGGCCCAGGGAAGAGCAGTGAGCAGAAACCACTGGGAAGGGTCCTCTTTCCTGTGTAGGCAAGGGTGAACTCCACTCTGAGAGCAGAGCTTTTGAGCGTCTTACTGGAGAACTGTAAGGTCAGCTCTGCACGCTCCAGGAACCACGCAAGGAGGTTGAATTCTGTGCTAGCACAGCAGGCAGTGGTGTCAGTCTGGGACTAAGCAGCCTTCTGGAGGCTTACAGGGAGTCTTGAAACTGGTTTCCTTGGGCCCATATTCTCTCCGCTCTTGTCACCCGGTTCCCCAGGCGCGATCCTTCCAGCACAGTGGGAGGACACAGTATCATTCCCCCATTCAAACAAGAAGCAACAGACCTTACATTAGTGTCCTGAAGACTCGATTTCTTATTGATATTTACAAATGTGGGCTCCTCCTTTACAATCTGTTAAAGAAAACAAATTAGTCAAATGTAACTTAGCTTGCCATGTAAAAATGCTCTCAGGTCTTTTGCATTCAAAGTATTGTGGAGCTGGGAAGGACCACGGATGTAACTCACCAAGTGTCCTGCCAATCACAAACTTACTCTATTTACATAGTAAACAACAACGAAAACAGAGAAGTTTTCTGGAGGCATTCATGCTGAGGATTAAGATGTGATCATTCCAATGCAATCAATCCTTGCAGTCATACTTTTATTGAGCACTTGCTATGTGTCAGTTCCTGCCTGAATGAGAAAGGGATGTTGTGGGAAAAGCAACCCCGCAGTTCAATCCCTTACATCATTCCATGTACCAAGAACAAGAATGGGCTACAGGCTTGCGTAGCATTTACAGTTACAGCTTTAAAAGGAACTTGGAATCCTGTACATCTGAGGAACAAACCTGGAAGGGATGATGTCATTTGATTTTGATACAAGTCTTATCTTCCTCCCTCTGATGAGTCCCTGAGAATGACGAGGGAGGAGGGGACACCCGCACAGCCAGCTGAATAGTATGTACCCTGGCAGTCAGTGGGGGAGATGCCCAACCCACAGCCCTCATGCTCAGCCTCGCTCTGAATAGGTGTTGAGCCAAGATGCCAAGGACACTGGCTTGGAGGGCACTGCCTTCTTGGCCTGCCGCAGCTGTCCACACATGGATGCAGCCCTGTCTCCTGTCCGGGTTTTCCAGAGTCAGCATAAGTCAGTACCACTGGCTTCCTTTCCATATACCTGTGCTCTGCACTGACTCCATAGGGAATTGGTGCTTAGCCCTTGGCAGGATGCTGGGCTACATACCAGCTCCTCTATACCACAAACTCTCAAACCGAGATAACCCAGGGATCCTATGGTAGGGTCTTGGGTTCCTGAGAACACTGGTGTGGAGGTCAGTGGGAGCCAATTACAAAGGGGTCCATGCCATTAGGGTGTCAGAAAATAAAGCAGATTCCTTTCCTGTAGGACCTCTTGGAATCTCTAAGAGGCTCACATGCTGCTTTGAAGGGTGCTGTGGGGTGGCTGTGTGTCACTTCTAGAGTGATCAGTAAGCACCCTGCAGGGCCAGTGTTCCTGGAATTGCTGATCTCACACCTGCCTCTCTGCCCCTCCACGGCTCTCATGCCCTTCCCCTACCTGTCTAGGCAGGATATTTTTCTTTTCTTTGCGTCTATTTCCCCTCCTTTCCCACACTTTCCAACATGAATTATTGTTGACACATCGTACGTCTTCACTAGAGCAGAAGCCTGGACCCTCCATGGAGGATTCCTGCAGCAGGAGCCCCCCCTGGGAACGTGGCAGAGCTTCCTAATAGGCACAACATCCACTTTGTGAGCTATGGAGCACATACTAGGTTTATTTGTTTGGTGGCAGTACAAAATGGCATACGTGAAAACAACACCAGGAATGGCCGTTAAGGTCATCAGTTGTGACCGTAACTTGAAATAGCTGAGTTTTTAAAAATGTTTTTATTACACGTATGTGTGTGTGTGTGTGTGTGTGTGTGTGTGTGTGTGTGTGTGCTCATGTGTGCACTTGCCCAGGATGCACATGGAGACCAAAGGACAACTTGGGGGAGCTAATCCTCTTCTTCCACCCCATAGATAAACAGTGTCATCAGGGCTGGCACGAAATGCCTTTATCACGTGAGCCACCCTGACAGCCCTGAGATTGCTGGAGGTGAGAAGCCAACCTGACTGTTCTTTAAAAAGTGTCACTGACATCACCGACAGCCCTCAGTGTCCCCAGCACCTCCCTAACCTTAGCCTGTGGTAGTTCTGACCGGCACCTTCATGAGCTAATGTAAGAGACTGTGTCAGAAGCTGTGTGGTATCCTTTCATCGCCACAGTTATCGAAGGCGGTGGCTTTTAATCTGGTTTTGTTTTGTTTTGTTTTGTTTTGTTGGGTTTCTTTACCTTATGAGTGCGAGAAGTGTACTGGTGTATGTGCGTGAGTGTGTACAGGTGTGCAGGGGCTGGAGAAAGGAGTCCTTAATTTCCGTCCACCTTTGAGGGTCTCTTGCTGAAACTGGAGCCAGTGGCTTTACAACCAGGCTGGCACCAAGCAAGCCCCAGCAATCCCCCTGTCTCCACCCCGATCAATGCTGGGGTTACAGGCGTGGATGGGATCACACCTGGCATGTGTATGCAAGCTGGGATCCAAATTCCAGTCCTCAAGCTTGCAAAGAAAATGCTCTTAACCTTGAGCTGTCTCTTCAGTTCTATGAGAAGAAATCTTACTATGTTGTCCCAAGTTGGTCTCTAGCTCCTGGGCTTTAGAGACCTTCCTGTCTCTGCCTCCCAAGCACCTGGGACTACAAACTACAGGTGTATACCACCAGGACCAGCTAGTCCCCATTTTCCCTACAAAACTACTGAGGCTCAGACAAGTTAGGAAACAAGTTGAAGGTAACATTACTAAGAAACAGATCAGGACTCAAACCAGAGCTGGCAGTTCTCAACCCATGGGTCATGACCCCCTAGGGGTCGAATGACCCTTTCATAGGGGTCGCCTAAGACCATCAGAAAACACAAATATTTACATTATGATTCATAAGAGTAGCAAAATTACAGTGATGAAGTAGCAATGAAATAATTTTATGGTTGGGATCCCACTACATGAGGAACTGTATTAAAGGGTCCCAGCATTAGGAAGATTGAAAGCCACTGAACCAGACCTTCTGGCTTTCCAACAGGTAATCTGTGCCATCCTGCTTCCTGTTTACATCACAGCCTCCAAGCGGAAGAAACCTTATAAGCATGCCCTTGTTTCCCATGGCATCTTCTGGGAGGATTGAAATCATATAGAATGTTAATAGAAAACGAAGACATTGCTGAGTATTTACTCTTGGCAATCTAAGTAGAGACAGTAGGTTCATAAGGCCTGTCGTCTATTCTTACATACTGTTCTAACGAGCTCTTGGACAACTTAGCTTTTTTAAAAAAAAATTCTCTTTTTACTTTGTGTGTGTGTGTGTGAGTGAGTGAGTGCGTGTGTGTGAGTGCGTGTATATGAGTGTGTATGTGTGTGTGAGAATGTGTATGAGTGGTGAGTGTGTGTGTGTGTGAAAATGTGTATGAGTGTTGAGTGTGTGTGTGAGAATGTGTATGAGTGGTGAGTGTGTGTATGTGTGTGTGTGAGAATGTGTATGAGTGGTGAGTGTGTGTATGTGTGTGTGTGAGAATGTGTATGAGTGGTGAGTGTGTGTGTGTGAGTGTGTGTGTGTATGTGTGCGCATATGCAGGGACATGCTTGTCATGGTTCACGTGCGGAGGTCAGAGGACAACTTTAAGGAGTAGGCTCTCTTACTCAACCATATGGGTCCAAGGGATTGAACACAGACCTTCAGGGGGTGGTGGCAAGAACCTTTAGCCACTGAGCCATCCTGTCAACCCAACCACAGATTTTTATATTCTGTTTCCAGGGCAGGGATAGCCAATGGGTTTCTCCTTGCCTATCAGCTGTGACTGGTGTCGCTGCCTTAGACCCCTAATTTAGGGAGTGTAATTAGTGGTCATTGTGGAGCCAGTGATCCGTGCTATGGGTTTACGGCAGTTATGACACTATCCTCTCTCATCTCCAAATTCACCCCTCCTTCTTGGACCTGGGCTGAGAACCAGCAAACAAATTTTCCTTTGCCAACAGGGGGCGCTAGAGAGGAGGAATTCACGGCTTCCTGTTCTGGATTACCCCAACCTGGCTTCTTAGCTCTGGAGTCCCACTCCTCCACAGGAACATCTAAGTCAGGTTACAGTGTTGCGCACCGGGAGATCCTGAGTTATCCTGTCCATCACAGAGTCGGCAGAAGCCCCCTTCTCACCCCCCCCCCCACCCCCCGATTGTGGGACCAAGCTATATATACATCATAAAGTTAGATACCAGAGCAGGCCACGGGACCTGAGCTCAGGAGTCTTAAGTTTCACCTCATAGGACTCAAATGTCCATATTTGCAGAATATTTGTTCCCCAAGCTGTTGGGATGGAAAGTGCTTCCTGGAGTCGCCCCCTCTAGTCCCTTGGAGTAGTGTGACTCAAAGTGCCGTTCAGAGAGCTGGTTAGACATGCAGATCGCCAGCCCCCACACTGACTAACTGAACCCTCGGGATGGGATGCAGCTCTGCTGAGGGCCCTTAGGCAACGAGCCTATAAGACCCTCTGTCTCCCATTTCTCTGTCTTCCACTTGCTTGCATAAATAATAACCACGCTGGTCAGGAATTCTCCGCATGAAAACCCAGGCTTCCCAGAGCCAGTGAGACAGCTCAGCAGATCGGAGTGCCTGCTGTGAAGCCCGACAATCCGAGTTCAAGCCTTGGGACCCACACGGCAGAAGGGGAGAGCCGACTCCCGCGGGTGGTCCTCTGACCTCCACCAGCACGGGCCCCAGCACCTCTCCCCACAAAGAAATAAGACGTAATTAAAAAATAAAATAAAATCCAGGCTCCCATACCAGGAGGTGGCTCCTGTTTCCATACTGGCCCTTGACTGGTGCTTGACCTCCTGTGTGGCATGGAGGAACTCCTGAAACATGATATTGAGGGAGCATTCACCCCCACGTACCTGGGCATTCACACGAGAGGCGTTCTCCAGCTGTGCTTTCAAAATGTTACACTTCACGTGATCAGCCACGGGAGACGGCAGCAGCGGGGCCTGAAGAGTCTTCTCAGAAACCTTCTTTTCCTCGGCCTGAGAGATAAAGCAGGTGACAGATCGTGAAGAAACAGAAAAGAAAACACATGCTAACTCTCTCCCCAACAACCACAACCGCAAACAACACAGAGATCTGTGTGTGTGTGTGTGTGTGTGTGTGTGTGTGTGTGTGTGTGTGTGTGTGTCCTGATACACTTCCATTGTGCTGTAGCTTTCCAATGCAGAGTCTTCTCCATATCACCCAACTCTCTAGTGAGGGAGGGAATGGATATGCCAGGCTTCACGGTGAAGGTTCAAGACAGGAAGGGGCCTTTCAATATCAGCAAGAACCAGTGGCAGACAAAGGCCACAGCAGCTCCTCCCCAGCCCAGCCTAGAGCTATTCCCCCCAGACTGCTACCTCTGAGAGAGCAAGACACAGGTCTGTAGTTTGCAGCATCAAGGAAAAGAGCACAAAATATTTGCTGATATTTGTTCGGTAAATCTTGCTGGAAACCATGACTCTCAATAAGGAATCTGCATCTCTGTTACATTATTAGTTAAGTCCATTTATATGCAGCAGGTATGATCAGGGCCTCATGCTCTATCATAGAGCCACACTCCCAGCCCCTGTATCACATTATTGGACTTCAGGAGTTTGTTACTAATTTCACAAGTTCTGCCATCTCCCAAGTGTTAAGTAAATATGTCCCTAAAAGTTCATGTGACTCAATTAAGGTGGATTACCGGGGACTACGTGTTTATACTTGAATCATGTTCAAAGAATAATATCTTTGAAATCAAAGGTTTTATAACTATTGTTGTAGTAGACATGGTATTTACACAGTGCTTAAAATAAAATTAATTCATCCCTGCATGTAGCCCTGAACTATCCTGGATGGTATACGTGTCACTTTGGGGAAATAATATCTAATTGCTTACCATACTGTAGGTCATGATCATTGCACGTCTCAGCATAATATGGTACTTGAGCCAGACTCAGTGTCCAATAAATACCTTCTACAGACAATTATGGTGACACCCACTTATTATCAAAAGAGATATGTGCTTAATAAGAAATGCACAAGACCTCATGATTGCTAACACCAACTCAGTTGTCTCAGGAGGTACTGTGGCAGGCCAGCCACCGTGCACCGAGGCAAGAAGAAAACATTCTAAAATCCTCAACTTCCTCAAGTCCTGAAATTGCTAGTCTCTAAATCAAAAGTCCCACTGAGGTTAGGCACGGTGGCACTCATCTACAACCCCAGCACTCAGGGTACACAAGGAAGACGATGAATTCAAAATGAGCCTGGGCCATATGCTGAGACCCCGCTTCAGAAAAACCAAAAGTCCCATTGATCATCTTGGTCTCCGTTGTAGAAATATTATGAAAGCCACAGAGGAAGCGCAGGGCAAGCGGCTAGCCAACGTATGTAATAAGGAGATAGGGCGTGGAATCCAGGAAGGGACTGAAGGAACCTCCCAATAAGCAAGAGGAGTACTTGCGAGAGAAGAAACTTCAGCAATGCCATGTAGTGCCAAAGAGACAAAGGCAGGTGTTCTGAAATAAAATCTCAGTGGTTTCTCTGTAGGGTCCCATCAAAAATAGATGACAGATGACCATGATGGCAAAGACCATGACAATGATGGTGACAACCACGATGGTGATTATGATCACAGTGATGGGGACCATGGTGGTGATGATAATGATGAGCACAATGATGATAATGGTGGTGATGATAGTAATAATGGGGATGGCAAAGAAAAGTGCCAGTAGCTGATGTGTACTAAACATATCATGAGCCAGCCATCGGCCACATATTGCATGTGCATGACTCACTGGAGTCTCATTTGTCCATCCTATGGGAGGCAAGCACTTTTACATTTTTTTCTTAAAGGCTTTATTTATTCGTTTAGTGGGGGGGGGATGAGGGGGAGTCAGAGACAACTTTGGAGAGTCAGGTCTCTCCTTCCACCACATGGGACCCAGATATTGATTTATTGGCTTCTCTTGCTGGTACCTTCATCATCTCCACTTAGCAGAAGGCAGACGACTTTGGGCTGGTTCTACAGTTTGGGAGGGCACAAGGTTCAGTTCCAAGCTCTCCTCCATAAAAGGGGAAAGATTTATATGATCAGAAGAGAAAGTAGAGTGACATTTCCCCCAGTTTGTAGAAGAGAAAAAAACGATGCAGGGCCAATGGAAAGCCCAGGATCATACAAAGTGGTGCTTTAACATGAGAAAATTTTTAACATGGGGGAAAAAAGTATGAATGGCTTTTCTTATGCTAGACTCTATAGTTAGAAAAGAAAATACAGCAAGGTATGCCTGAGATGTGAGGGCAGTAATAATACTAAACTATCATGGTGGGCTTGGGGAAATGGCATATGACACTGGATTCATTATCCCAAGGGATGGAGCATCTTCCTTTAAGGAAATAAGTAACTCACATATAACTTACTATCTTGAAGGTTTACAGTGTGGGTTTAGGGTAATTTATTTTGTGTTTGTATATCCAGTTACATTAAGATATTTATCTCATACTTGAATGGATTTTTTCATAGATGTATTTGTAGTTGTTTTTAATTTGGGGGGTGGCATGTTGGCAAACAGGAATTTAATTAGTTAGGAGCCCATTGGAGGGTTTTGACAAAGGCTTACGGGGAATATATTGAGAGTAATGAAGACCTACTTAAAATAATGGAATGCTGCTAAAATAAGAAAAGGATTCAGCACTGATTTTTCCCCCTTAAATTTAGCCAACCTAAACCGAAGTTTGGGACATACAAGTCAAGCTAACTTGCTTCTGTCCCAGCTGAACAAAGCCAAAAGCAGTTCTGCTCACTTATGTGAATCACCTCTGTTGAAGACCAACAGGAAATTTGCAAAATTTGTGCATCTTTGTGTGGAAACTGTTTTGCTTAAAAGGCATCTCTAGTGCTGGGTTGGGTTGCTCCATCTGTGAAGGACTGGCCTCACAAGTGTGAGGACCTGAATTTGAATCCCCAGGAGCTGCATAAAAAGCTGGGTAGAGTGGGCCATTCTGTCACCTCACTGATGACAACAGGTTGAGACCAGCAGGTCCTTGGGTGCCTACAGGGCCAGCTAGTCTGGCCTGTGTAGTGAAGTTCCAGGCCTTTCTGAGAGCCAGTCTCCAGTAAAGGTGGAAGCTGCCTGCGGACCAACATGTAGGTTGTCCTCTGACCTCCACACACTCACACATCCACGGCCACACATGCACCCCACACTCTCAGGAATGCATGCACGTGCCTGCACACACACGAAAGTGGCTCCACAGGAGATGACAAGACCACAGTTGCAGCTCAGAGCATGGCTCCAACACTTTGTGGGTTTTTTTTTTTTTTGAATCACCATATTTTATGTTCAATTTTGAACTGTAGAAAGAAACCATATTGTCCAATATGGCATTAAAGATTTCAAAACATATAAATAAATGACAATGGGGTATTGGTGTCATAGCTGGGAACCAGCCATCTGTTTAGGGGTGTCACCAGAGACAAGGAAACAATCAGATGTGTATTTAAACTGTTGGTACAGATAATTAACACATGGGAAATCTGGTAAGATTGAAATTCCTGCTGTCATTTGGGCTACCACTTGGAAATAGGTAGAGAAAGTAATTAAATTAAGAATAGGAAGTTGGGGCTGGAGAGATGGCTCAGCGGTTGAGAGAACTGACTGCTCTTCCAGAGGACCCGGGTTCAGTTCCCACATGGTGGCTCACAACTGTCTGTAGCTCCAGTTCCCGGAGACCCAACAGTGGTACACAGGCTGGTGCTCCCCACAGCTCATCCATCAAGAAGGAAAGTGGGGCTCTGTTCCTGGGGCAGACTAATCAGAAAGGGCAAGAAGGCTGCAGGGGAGAAGCCGGGGAGCTGGCGCAGTAAGTAAAGCACTTGTGCACACAGGAGGACCTGAGTTCGAGGCCAGGCATAGAGCTGGACAGATGGCTCAGCAGTTAGCGTGCTACTCTCATAGAGAATTGATTGGGTTCCCACATTCTGTATGGAACGCCAGCTCTAAGGGACCCAACACCTTCTTCCAGCCTCCACGAGCACACACATGCGTGCATACCAACATAGGCATACACACATATACATAAATTAAAAATCTTAAAAAAAAAAAAAAAAGCTGGGCATGGTAGTGCCTGATGGCAGCAGAGACAGGCAGGTGCTCCAGGGGCCAGGGTTTGTGAGTCCAGCTAAGTTTACTTGGTGAGTCTGAGACCAGTAAGAGGTCATGCCTGCAAAATAAAGGTGGATAGCACCTGAGGAGCAAAACCTGAGATTGTGCTCTGACCTCTACACATGAGTAGTGTGCATGCACATGCACACACATACATATATATGCATCTGCACTCACGAGTATGCACATACATGAGTATGTGTATGTGTACACACAGATACACCAGCTCAAGCATGAGCATGCACACACACACATACACACACATGCATACCTGCACACACAGGAGCATGCATACACACACACACACACACACACACACACACACACACACACACACACACACAAAGCTGGAATGGAAACACCTGAGGTTCAGTCACGGGGTGGGATGGGGTGGGGTGCAGGGTTAGTGCACTCCAAGCGGAACCAGCCTGACACCTTGTTTATGTTGATATGCAGGGCAGGCCAGGGTCCCGCTGTCTTCACAGTCTCCAGCTCCAGCTTCTTCAGATGAGCAGCGGCTTCGCTGTACAGGGCAGGTGCTCCGGGACTCAGTTCTGCAACATAAGCCACAGGAAGGGAGACAGTGGAGGTTGAGATGGCAGCCAGATACAGGGGCCAGAGATGCCGGCAGGAGCCTGGCTCCCAGGTCCTTTTCTGTTCCTCCTGCTTGACGCTGCTGAGAAAGAGCATCTGACACCGAAGTTTCACACCTTACTCCCTCAGTTAGGAGCTGGGGGGCCCTGGGCATGTTGTTTGACCTCTCGGAGCCTCTGGGCCATTTATAAGTGAAAATAGAAATCACTTATCTTGCAGGGTTGTTGTAGTATTTTTTTTTTACATGAAGTTATTCTCATAAAAAGCCTTACATGTGGAAAGGCCCTCTACATGCTGAAAAGATGGGTGTCCAGGCTGATGGGCACAGCAAGGCACCTTGGAGAATCATGTTTCTAAAGTCAAAGCCATTGGCTCTTTGTATTGTGTTACATTTGTTTGCCACCCCACCTCCCTCTAGCTTGGATTTATTCATTAATGCATTAAACATTCACTAAACATCAAATATTCATTATACAATAAAGCTTGTGCTTTATTGCTTGTTAGCAACTGGCATCTGGGGAGTTGAAATAAACAAATATGACATGATTCTAGTGTAAGTGTGTGTGGGGGGAGATATTCCACATAAAAGCATGAAGGGCTTTCATCATTGCTATAGGCACAAGAGAGAAGACACCACCACCACCACCACCACCACGATCCATGGCGGGAGGGTGCAGGGGAGGCCGTGCTCACATGTGCGCCCTCCTGAGGGTCATAGAGGCTTACTAGGGCAGAGAGAAAATCACTGCAGGCAGAGGGAAGAGCCATCGCAGAGGACAGGGCTGAGATCGCACAGTACTTGGTTAAAGGACAGAAGTTCCGTGCAGCTGGAGTGTGGGAAGAGTCGGGGAGGCTGGGACCGCAGGGTGGGGCTTTGGAGATCTGTATGAGACCATGCCCAAAGTGCGGACTCATCCCGGGGCAGGGAGGAACAGACGGTCTTAATGCTGATGTCGGCAGCTTCTAGGTGGGGGCTGCTTTGGAGGAGGGGTCCTGTTAGAGGCCGTGACAGCTGCCTCCATGCAAAAGGATGAGGTGCATGCAGGTGAGCCTGGCCAGGGTTTGCATTCTTCACCCCCAGTGGGCCAGGAGTGCCCATCTTCCGTTCAGCTAACCTCACGTGACTCTTGTGGTCTGACGATGAGGGCTGAGGAGCTCGACCTGTCTCATGGGCTCAGGGTTGCCTGCCATGTCAGGCTAGAAAGCTCCTTGGCACTCACTGCACACCCTGTCTCCTGCTCAGAGGGGCCCAAACCCAGAGAGCTGTGCAACAAGAGGCAGCATCCCCGCCTCTAACAGGCCTTGCCTTGGTGCTAAGGGGGCAGGTATGAGGGCTGTGGGGCATGAACATGGAGAAGGGCTCCCGGGGGCAGGAGGGGACAGGGAGGGGGAAGATCAACGAATAGAAATGAGATTTGAAAAAAGCCACACTGAAACCCCACACTGAATGCTAGTTTAAAAAAAAAGATTTAGACAAGCAATAAAATAATGAAAATTAAAAGTAAGGGCCATGTATGGTGGTGGCACATGCTTTTAATCCCACCACTGGGGAAGCAGAGGCAGAGGCAGCTGGATCTCTTGTGAGTTTAAGGCCAGTCTGGTCTATAGAGTGAGAAAAAGAAAAGGAAGAAAAAGGAAAAGCTATTTCTTTGCCTCAGTTCATCAGAGACAAATTCCCAGATAAAGGAGAGTAAAAGTGAATTTCTAGAAAATGATATAATGCGCAAAAATGCAAGTTTCTTCTTATTAGAGTTAGCAGGGGCCAAATGAGTCATATTGCCAACCACATGCCTAATTGTTGACTGTTATTAACGTCTACAGGATGGACTGCACCCCAGGCCCGCTGGATGCCTGACACCACTTTGCTGCTGGAGGCAGGGGTCACCAAGGGCAGAGGAGATTTTACTGTGATCAGGACAGTAGGAACCCCAGCCGCTTCCCGCCTTTTCTCTTTTCCGCTGCTAGAGCGAGCCGGGGCCAGGGCTGAGCACTGCACAGGCACGAGTCTAAACTTGAGAGCAGGGAGGAATCTAGAACAAGGTGCAAGCAGGAAACGGACCGCTCTAGATGGCTCTGCCTCCAGGCATCAGGCTCTATAGTCCAAGCTGCCCAAACCCGGTAGCCATGGCAACACCACCCATTTCTGTCGCCCACTAACCCTCCCCACCCCACCCTGCTTCCCTCCACACACTCACTGGTGAGGGCCTTGCTGGAGTTTGGGGACCTCAGTGGCCCCTCCTTCTTCTCCAGGGTCAGCGAAAGGCCATAGTTAGAGTGGTGTTGGAGCTGGTGGTGGAGCCTCCCCGAAGCTTTGGGGGCGAACGGTGTGCCCCCATTCTCCTCGAGGCCGAAAGGCAGTCTTTCTGTCGGGCTGAGCGCTGGGGAGGAGAGCGGGTAGCTGGGGGCAGGCGACAAAGTCAGGATTTAGAACAACACAGCCTTTTGCTAACACCTTAAACCCCAAGACCATGAGGCTCAACAAACAGACCCCTACTTAGACAGGGCATTGGGCCAAACTGTGTCCAAAGATGACCCAAGTGGGCCTTTGTATACATTAGCAATCTGACATCTTCAACCTTAAAAATGTCTTCACTTTGAAATGGAATAAAATAGCTTGCATTTAAAAAAGCCATCCTCAGGGCTGGAGAGATGGTACAGTGGTTAAGAGCACTGGCTAGTCTTGCAGAGGACCTGGATTCAGTTCCTAGCACCCATGTGGCAGCTCACAAGCACCTGTAACTCCAGTTCTACAGGATCTGATGCCCTCTTCTGGCCGCTACAGGCACTGCATGCATGTGAGGGACATACAGGGCAAAGGGTTCATATACATGAACGCATTTTTTCTTTTGAAAAAGGCATCTTCTAAATGCAAGATGAAAGAAAGAAAAACAATAAATAATGCTTTAATGATCCTATGTTATAAGCCAGAGTCTCTTCTCTATCCACCCCACATTCAAAAAGTCCTTCTTATGTTCCCGCCCTTACATTTCTTCTCAGGGGCAGCCTGTAAATTCAAGCATGGCCAGCCCAGAAGCTCCCACAATTCTGTTTAGAGGGATTTTATCCAGATGCACTCACTTGTTCCTAACTTTTAACAGCTGAAAGCAAAAAGATAGGAACTCTCTTCGGGGTGGCTCACAATCGTCTCTAACTTGGGCTCAGAGGACCCACTGCCTTCTTCCAAACTCCTCGGGCACTGCACTCATGGGTACAAACCCACACACATATCCACATAATTAAAAATAAAGCCTTTTGCCGGGCAGTGGTGGTGGCACACGCCTTTAATCCCAGCACTTGGGAGGCAGAGGCAGGTGGATCTCTGTGAGTTTGAGGCCAGTCTGGTCTACAGAGTAAGTTCCAGGACAGACTCCAAAGCTACACAGAGGAACCCTGTCTCAAAAAAAAAAAAAAAAAAAAAAAAAGCCAAAAATAATAAAGCCTTTTAAAAATTACATTTCTAGGCAGTGCTTATATTAAAGCAAGTATATTGATATAACACCTTAACATACTTTCTTCAACTAAATATTTTTTTCCTGACTATAAAAGATATTAAAGCATTTTTATGTGTTCATAGAGTACTGTCATGCCAGGGTACCATGTTCAAAGTGTATAATAAGTAAGTCAGTTATGGCCATCAGGATGCAAACTGAAGCTTCTTGTGGTCATCTTTCCCAGACATAAAGTAGTTATATCCCTGAAAAGAGGCTAAAGCGTGAAGGGAGAGAAGATGAGCAGAAGTTAAATGTAGGTGGGGTGGGAAAAGACTCTAACGGTAGAATTTGAGCACCTAGACCCAGCTCTTCCAGAAGCTGGTACTCCTGCCAACTCTTTCTAGAAGGTTCACAAAATGCATTGAATGGTTGGCTGACTAAGGTAGCTGGGTTTCTCTCATCTATGATCTAAACCAGGACTCATTTATTGTTTTTGTGGGAAAGGGTAGATGGCTGTGGAGTTTAAGAGGGTAGAGAGAGCCATTACAGGCCTAAGAAACACCATGGGCAAAGATCCTATGAGCCGGAAGGGCAGAGTATATGGACAGAAAGGCATGGGGAGGAAGCCAGAAGGAAGTGTAGTTCAAATGACAAGCTGGACTAGTGTGAAGGGCGATGGGTACAGAGTTATCATCTGAGCAGCAAGGAACCATGGGAAGGGTCTGAGCTGCCCTCTGGGATATTCCTGATAGTGTGAGCAGGGCTTGGGGACACTGAGGAAGGAGGTGGGAGTGGGCTCATTAGCAGAGGCAGGGCAGAGTCCAGAGGAAAAAGCGTGCTTGTCACCACTGGTACAGCTGCCGGATTCTTCAGCCACCCCGGCTGCCCTGTGGAGACTCGCTCAAGGGCACTCTTACAGGGTGTGTACCTGGGGGAAGTGGAAGGTGGCATGGTTTTGAGCCTGGAGGGCTCCACCCTCACCTCTTCCCCTTAGAAATAGTTCTGGGTACCCACCTTCCTATTGGGAGCAGTAAAAAAAAGCACACCATGTTAGCTGAAAGTCCTTCTCTCCTCTGCCCTGCCGAGGCCCTGCAGGAGACCCTTGACCACTGTTCTACAGGGTAGTGATCGCTGGAATCCCACAGCTGAGAAGCTGTATAGCTATGATTTGATAACAACGCTGTGGACTGCAAAGCCTACCGACATTATTTTCCCATCCTTCAAATATATGGAAGATATTAGCCCTCTACGCAGAGAGGGTGCAATGGGGCCTTCAGAAGAGCAGATGTCCTTTGTGGGGCTGGAGAGGGCTTCCCAGTGTATGGCTGGCCATCTTCTTCCCTCATCCTCACCATTTCTGGCCTGCTCAGAGTCTGAGTGGCATTAGGACTGTCCAGTCATGAAGGACAGAGAGACAAGAAAGGGCCATTGGCTGGATGCAAGAAGGGATCGTGGAGACAGGGAGGGGAGGAGGAAATGGCAGGCAAATGGCACAGTATCCGTAAAAAGAGGGAGGTGGGGAGCGAGGGAGGCTCTGACGAGCTTCAAATGCTCACAGCGAGTGTGGGAATGAGCACCCGCAGGGAAACATGGCCAAGAGCGGAGAGCTGGCATGCAATCAGGCCTGGAAGAGATGGAGAGCTTTGAGGAAGAGTTCCTGAAAGATGGCAAATAGATACCACCTCAGATGCCAGATCGTCTTTACCTCTGCCCAGAGTGTGAGAAGGATTCTGAGATGGGGCCCCACGCAGGGAAAAAGAGCTGGGATTGGTGAGTGATGCCTGTCACAGGCTTGGAAGGCCATGGCACTATCATGAACTTGTCTCCACATGTGGAAACGGTGCACATTTTTTTTTTTAATTTCAAGGAAACTCATAAAGAAGAGTGAAGCAGTAAAAACAAACAAACAACAAACCAGAGAACCCACCTATATGCCAGGAATGAGAAATCACATAACAACATGTCAAGTAAAATATGCATTCTTTGGCTAAGATCAAAAACACCAATGACAACCAATGTTG